TTCCAGCGATCGAATATCAAAGACGTCTGGTCTGGCCAGCTATCAGCAGGTCTAGAGTTTCATTCCATGCAATGTCACAAGTTCGAGAACGAAAGACAACTGATTAGTGCTGAAGAGGACTGCGGGAGTCGCAAGGGAAACATCATCACTTGATTCCATTACACTTGGGCTTGCATTGAAATTAATGACGACCACGCCTACTCCGCAGCTCTCAACCATGCCTTCACCTCCTTCCTGAGTTCCCGGACCGTAACTCTTCAACACTTGCATTCACCAGGCTTGCACCCACAGCTTGCGCCAGAACGCCACATCAGCACGAGTTGCACTTCCATTCAGAGGGAGTACAGGACTTACGTTGCTCCGCACCCACATTGAAGATTGCCACAACCAGGGTCTGAGCCCGCTCCCTGAGCGGGAGGTTGAGGTTTCGCAACATCGTTGTTCTAGATGGACGGTTGTACATGAGTAAGTAGCACTGCGCCCGGGAGACATGCCTACCGAGGACATTTCTTTCAAGTTTGTTGGTTTCGGTGGATTGTTTGTTGTTGGAGGACTAATACTTTTGAGATTCGGAGGTGAGGAACCCCTGTTTTATGTGCCTCATGCGTATGTCTGTGTGTCGTTGTTGATTGGTATTTTATTGGAATTGGGTTCATCAATCTGGCGGATTCTGACATCATCGTATGCTGCCTACACCACTACGACTTTATAGCGTTCCCGTGTTTGTTTCCCCGTCGTCATAAACCACCTTGGCTTATCCCCATAAATCAACCCTCTCCGCTGCGCACATCTCATGTCTTAGTGGGGGGTGCCGCTCTCAATGGCCGACTAGCTCAGTTGGTTAGAGCGTCGTGCTAATACAGGAGTAATCCCTGGTGACGCGAAGGTCTTGGGTTCGACCCCCACGTTGGCCAATTCTTTTTTTCCCTCATTTCCGGGGCCTTGGCGCTCACATTCTGTGGGATCAACGACGGTACAGGTAGGACCCTGTAGAACCACCAACCTCCAGATATTTCGTGATTTTTTCTTCATTTCTAGTCCAAGTATATCTTTTACTTCCGCGGTAGACATAGATTTGACATAGATGTTTCCTTTTCTGGACTCGAGGGATTTCATACCAGTCCGCCCAAAAGAGCCGCTATGTCCGTGTGTCACAGTGAGGTTTGTGTGTCCAGCATCCAGACGCGTCACACATAGCAGCAAGTCGTCCTCGTTGTCGTCCTCGACACCTGTCTGACACCATTCCAACCATCGCTATCGTTTCCGGCAATGGCATCAGGTACACCTTCTCCCCTAGTTTCATTTCCCACCTCCCAGGAGTTAGCACTGGTAGCCCCACTCCCCGTACCACACCTTCCTTTTCGCCGCATCTCACTCCCGAGCGCACCCAGTCTCGTGCTCGCTCAGCGACAGTCTGTCGTAAGTTTCACATCGTCTGACTCACTTGCAGAGGACCAGGTCCACGTGCACCAACACCGGCGGGGAAGGCGCAGGTCGCTGAACCCAGCCGGAAGGTCTCACAGACAAACACAGGCCGACGACGACAGGCAAGCAAAAAGGATAAAAATCATTGCCGAATTCTACGCAACCGAGAAATCTTACCTCGATGGCCTTGATCTTGTATACAACGTGAGTGCCCTCTGCCGTCCCAGACGCCAACTACTCACCCGTACTCGGATTCGCTTGCAGCACTTCTTGACGCCTATCCTCCAGTCACTGGATACACCCAAGCCACTGTTGACTCGGAACGAGATAACGACACTCTTCTCAAATTTTATTGACATTTGGAATTTCCACCACACATTCTTTGCTGCACTGTCTGCGCGACTTCATCCCTCTCCGTCAACGCCCAGCCCAGCATCTCACACTACACCGCTTTCCTCGTTGCTTCTCGCGCATTTTCCATACCTGTCTCTCTATACCCCATTCATCATGACGTTCCCAGCATCACTTGCTTTTCTCACTTCGCTCTCCCATCCTTCCACATTAAACCCTGCCTTTGCCACATTCATGCGAACCCAAGAATCTCACCCCGCATGCGCACACCTAAGATTGGCAGACTACCTGCTTACTCCAGTACAGCGCTGTCCACGATACCTTCTACTACTCAAAGATCTACTGAATTCCACTGACCCCGAGGAACCAGAGTGGGAGAGATTGCAAGAAGTTTGCGGTCTTGTCGAGAAAAGTAGGCCCTACCCTCCTCCCCCTAGGTGTCTGATTTATGCAGCCTTGCTGATCATTCGGATAGTAACGACGTCCCTTAACACGGCCCTCGCTTCCCATGCCCAGACTCTGTCATTGATATCGATCCAGCGCAATACTCGCGATCTCCCACCTACGCTCACCCCCCTCATCGCTCCGGGAAGGAAACTCCTCAAACGCGGAGCATTGATACGATCCGGCGGAGGCGAAGGAGGAGCAAGAAAGACGTTCGAATTCTTATTACTTAGCGATTACCTCCTATGGCTCGAGCGCGAAGACGCTCCGGTGGTCGGTCATGACGGGGGCTCAAGTCCACGGAAGCGAAGAGCGTCGATAAATGCGCTTGGTGGTGGTGACGAGGAGAAGTGGTGGTGTAGGGGTTCCATGAATCTTATTGATATGGAAGTAGTCATGGTTGTCGATCGCCCTGGTGGGAGTGAGGAGAGGCTTGAAGTGTTGAGCCCGGAGGGATCTTTTGCTTTGTACCCTGGTGAGACGATTTCCTTCATACGCTGGTGTCAACAAACGGC